ATGTGACGGAACAATGGTATATCTATAAGTGACGGAAAACTAATGGTGCTGTGGCCATGCTAGTGAATGACATTATTATTCTAATAAATAATTAATAATAATTGTCCTTTAGAGTAAGGTTGTGGGCAATCGAACGTTGTTCCCCCCCCCAAATAAAGGAGTACTTGTTATGGCATACTGTAAAACGTTATAGCCACGCGTGCCTCATGGCATCTATTTGGGGACGCTTGGTTGCGGATTAGTCTCGCCACAGGAAGAGGGTTTTTTCCGAAGGGAAGAACGCGAGAACGGGAGACACAAGGGCTTGGTGGTCTTCCGGGCTTAAGAAGCTTTCACTGTTATAACAAGCGAGGGGTGGCGTGACGTAGGGGTCACGTGGGCCTCGCTATATAACAGAGTGTACGCGAGCCAGTAGGCAGTTCTGGAGACGGTGGGAGAAACCTCGTGCGTGTGCAAAAACTGGCGCCGAAGACGGTGCATATGCGAGCCAGGCTCGCGAGGCTGGGATCATTAGTTTGACGAAGCCTGCGGACTTTATGTCCTAGGGTGACTGCGGTCACTGGGGGAGCGATCTGTGTGCGTGCTCCGACGTGAAAGTGTTGAGTGCCACGATTCCCGATCCGATTCTCAATCGGATTAAGATCGCTCCTGCGATCGAGGCAAACCAGCCTGGTTGTGCGCCAGAACGACTTTGTGGTCCAGCGTGTACATCCGGTCACGGAAGCTAGCTTTGGTGCGCGCTTCCAAAAGTAGGAAGTGGCGAATGCCCAATCAAAAACCATCTTCATCGGTTTTAAGATCGCTCCGCGCGATCAGGGATAGTAGGTCTATCAAGAGCTAGGGTTTTAAGTAGATTAGTATAGTTGGTTATATTTGTTTTGTTTTCCTGTAATTAAATATTTGTTTAACGAAAGCTCTGTGTCTGTGGTCGCTGTGAAGTATCATTGACGTCCCAATACATTGCAAGCAAAAAGCTGTGAATTTTGGAAACTCTGTAACTTTAGAAGTGCTTTGGCTGCAACGTTTCCTTGGATATGATATCAGAGTGTGGTAAGAAAAGTTGAAGTGAAGTGCAGTACCTTGGTAGAGCGCGTTGCCTTCGTGCCACAGGGCGATGCTTTGCGCGGGGTGGGCGGGGCAAGGGAGGAGAGGGGGGAGAGGCGGGGAGGCGGCGCCGGGGCGCCGTATGTGCGGTAATGTGGCCAAGCGCCTTGCTGGCAGCGCCGCGATCGCGCGCTACGAGGCCGCGCCGAGTTATTTGAAAAGCTTGAGGGCGCGGGGGGGGGGGGTTCCTCAGGGGTGGCCACCGCGGGTGACTCGCCATACGACGCCAAAGTAGAAGGCGCGAACATCCTCTCTACGAAGATTCCAAGATCTTCATCATTCGAAGGGCTTCAACATCTCTTTTCTCTCCTTGCTCCACGAGGCTAGCAGACGATTCACATTCCTTGTAAATTACATTATACTTCATTTTGTAACCTCTTAATGCATAACGTTTCCTTCATATTTTTATATTTAAAAACACGCCTTATTTACCTAATTATACAGAAACTCCAAGATTTTGGCTTCGAAATTGGAAAACCTATTTTTTTTTTTTTGCAAACTTTCATTCTACATTAAATTGTCTAAATATGTTATCCCGAACGTCATTGAAATAATAGTTGTGATTTAGATGATTAGATAATCAGTTCCATCTTTTGAAGTTTGCATTTAAATGAAATTTAATGAAATAATTGATCAAATAATCATTCGTAAATAAATTTAATGAAATTAGAACATTTACTGCAATTATTGAGAATGACGTATGTATATTCTTGAACAGTTGATTACAAGATGTTATTAATTTTTTTAGTTACGATTCGCATGTAATAGATTATTTACAAATTGTGAGATAGAATTAACGAGGAAATTGTACAAAAAGAGAGGATAAATTTAACTATTAACTACAAATTATTGGTAACAATATTTATTACAGGAATATTTGATTAACATTTACATATCCACGATAATTTTGAATATTGAATAAAAATGTAATGAATTGAATGAGTTAAGCTGTTTAATTTCAGAACGTACGAATTTCTAGGCAGAATGTTGAAAAACATTCTCTACATCAAAATCACTTGTGCTTTCAAAACTGGATCAAAATTCAACATTATACTCTTGCAAACAAAGTTGAGATAGAACATGCTAATGCTGAAATTTTAATTTTGAAAATGTTAATGTCCGGAATATAGAACATGTAATATCCATTTTATTGCATTAGAAATTAAAGTATTCGAGAATGTAGTAATTTACTTCGTTATAATGTTTTATGGAATGCTAGTTACTCCGTTCTATGACTTTAATCAAATCTATTCACGAGGAGTGCCAGCAGCTCCATATTTCCGGGTTGTTGTCTCTTGCCCTTGCTACAACCAAGTGAGTCAGGGGACGGAGAAGGCCTCCATATCACTCCCCTTGAGCAAATGAAGGATTCCAATTTATGAACAACGATTGCCACGGATGCTTTCGATGGATCAGAACGGTGAGGAAGAACAATAGCTCACAATATGACTTCTAATCATAATTAATTCCTTTTAATGGATCTCTTTCTCATATCATCAAAGCATAACCACGCTGCGCTAGCTAACTGCAGATAATGAGAGAGACACTATAAAGAAATCGCGCCAAATAAGGGGATGCACATAAGTTGAAGCACTTGCTAACGAAGAGCAACGATTCACGTGTGATGCAGTAGCCAACCTCTGCTCGCAAGGATGAAGGACGGATTTGCAGGCGAAGGTTCACATCATTTTCTTCTGAGCCAAGTCTAAGCGTTACCGCTGATTAAAACAATACATAGAAACGTAATAACGATTAATATTTATCATCTTTGCTTTGTCGTTCTCGCGAATGCATAGGACCCAATATCTAACACACTCGTAAACCCGGTCTAAGATTTCAATGTATACTAACTTCAATTTAATTTCTCGGAGTAATTAATCGAAATCCAAGGGCCATTCTCAAAGCTCTGACCAAGAATAATAGTATATTTTGATGCGAGTCTATGAGACAACTCCAGAATCCCCAACTTTTTGTCACCGCTCACCTTCCTGATGGGGATTCATCGGAATGTGCTTAGGCAAGGGGATTCATAGGTATGTGATTGCTATGGCAAAGATATAGCCATCAGTCTAAGAGATTGCTACGTCTTTGTCATAGCAATCAGTCTAAGACCTGAAGAAAGGCGGTAGAAACAATATATCGGTGCAGAATATATTAGTTTTGCATACTCCAAATGGAAGAAGAGTTGTTTTTAAAATAACGCCACAGTGTCACTGATACGGGATAATGTCTAAAAGTGAATCAGAAAGCTTGGACATAATATGATAGTTTTAAAACATTTTTGTAACATTTTTTAACGCTTGTGATCTTTTAACCATCTTTGCAGTAGCATGGACATCATTTCCAGTATATAAGAACTTTCTTTCTGGAATTTAAAACAAGTAAATAAGGAAATAAAAAATCCACATTTCTCCTTCATAGATGAAAATTGCGGATCATAGATGTGTTGCTTAGCTTTCAGTTTATATTCCATAAAACGAAAACTAAGAATGCTTTACATGTTTAATGAAGGATATTGTGACTGTCACTGAGCGATGTAATTACACTTACATGAATAACTACGAGTATATTATGTAAACTACGCATGTATTGCCACATATGCGAAAACTGATCAAGTTGAGTTTAAGTTCAGAATGTTAATGAGCACATTGTGGGTCAATAACACAAATGAAAATGTTGACAAATGACGGGAATAGAGAGTTATGGCTTTGACCTCATTTTCCTAGTTCCTTTCTTTCATGTTGTAATAATGTTGTAGTTTCTACTGTAATTTTATATTATTGTAATAAAAAAAACTAAAAACTAAAAACCCAAAATAAAACTTTATTTTAGTTACATATATTCAAGAAGGAGGAAGAAGCATTCATTTAGCTCAATGCGATCCACGCCTTAATTTTTTTCTTGCAGGAAAAAGCGGGATGCAAATGTTGAAGTCGTATAACACAAAATAGTTTTCATGCAGTTTGGGCTTGCAGAAAGTGAGCAGTACACTTTGCGCGAATTATGTCTGATAAGTTTTAACCGTTTTACGAAATACATTTAAACTGTTTTCCTATTGTTTCTGTTTGCTCACTCTATTACTTTAAGGAGTGGCGGTCATGTGCGTGCGTGCGCGGGACAAGACGCACTCATGAGCGCCGACCCAAGATTGTTGTCGGTGTTAGGAAATATCAGGAACTCTCAAAAATCCATTTAAAAAGTTTACTCATTTGTTTCCTTCACACTCTACGGCAGCGTGCGTGACGAGCGCGCGTGTCGAGCGCATACGTTGACCGCGCATGTTCAGCGTGAATGTTGGGCTCGAGTGTTGAGCATGCGCGTCGAGCGCGCGTGCCGAGTGCGTGTGTTGAGCTCGAGTGTTGAGCGCGCGTGTTGAGCGCGAATATTGAGCTCGAATGTTAAGCGCGCCTGTTGAGCACTCGTTTTGAGCTCGAGTGTTGATCACTCGTGTTAACCGCACATGTTGACCACGCATGTTGAGTGCGAATATTGAGCTCGATTGTTGAGCGCAATTGTTGAGCTCGAGAGTTGAGCTCGAGTGTTGAGCGTGCGTGTTGAGCGCGCGTGTTGAGCGTGCGTGTTGAGCGTGCGTGTTGAGCGTGCGTGTTGAGCGTGCGTGTTGAGCGTGCGTGTTGAGCGCGCATGTTGAGCTCGAGTGTTAACCGCGCGTGTTGAGCACATGTTTTGAGCTCGAGTATTCATCACGCGTGTTGAGCGCACATGTTAACCGCGCATGTTGACCGCGCATGCTGAGCGTGAATATTCAGCTCGAATGTTAAGCGCGCGTGTTGAGCACTCGTTTTCAGCTCGAGTGTTGATCACGCGTGTTGAGCGCGCGTGTGGAGGGCGCGTGTGGAGCGCGCGTGCTGAGCGTCCGCGTGTGCGCGCGTGCGCAGGTGTGGTTTCAGAACAAGCGCAGCAAGGAGCGGCGCCTGAAGCAGCTGACGTCGATGGGTCGCGGCCCGTTCTTCGGGTCGTCGCGCAAGATGCGCGGCTTCCCCATGAACCTGTCGCCCGGCGCGCTGGACGAGCCGCCCCCGGGCTTCCCGTACTTCGCCGCCGCCGCCCCCGACGGCAAGTTCGAGTTCGGCTACGGCGCGGGCCCCTTCGGCCACCCGGCCGACTTCTTCCACCACGGCGCGGGCCCACAGCCCGGCCAGCCGCCCCCGCCGCCGCTCGGACCCTTCTCCGGACCCGGTAAGCCTCCGCACCCGCACCCCCCCTGCGTTGCGACGATTTGGGACTGGGAACACGTAATAATAAAACGTTCAAACTAAAACGGGTCACTTACAAGTTAAACATTTTTTCTAGACCTAAGGAAACAGTCATGGCGTAATTCTGTAAATAGGTTAGTTAAGGCATGCTAGCTATCAGGTAGCTGAAAGATTAGCTTTAGTGAGGTTATAAGTACTCCCCGTTCTTCCGAAATAGCCAAAGAGGGCTGCGGCGCGAGCGTAGATTGTTCTGTTCCAACAAAAAAATAAATTCCCTCGTCAGGGTTGGGAGAGGGGGAGACTTGAAAACGAGAATACACATCAAGTCCCTTGCCTCTTAATTTTGAATCGGTAATTAGACCGACTATGACAAAGTCCCCTGTCATATTAATATGAGCCCTTGACATTTTCTGCATTTCGCCATTTTTTGCCACCGCAATTTTTCAGCAACGTTTGCGACCGATGTCTTAGGAAAATCCCCGTGTTGAACTAAAAAAGAAACTAAACAGGAGCGGTCGCCAGAAACACGATACTGCGACCAGAAAAGTATTTTCAACACGCCTTGCGCGAAACGGTGTTTCTCGTGCTTGTTTCCCATGTGCGAAACAGCTAATTTTTTCACAGTGTGCGAAACACCGCGAAGCGTGTTAAAAACATCTGTAACGATTCGCAATTGACTTTCGTCTTGATAACGTCTACGTTTATAATTTAGAAAAAATAGTGTTACGACACTGGAATCCATTTACGTTCGTACAAGTAAGGTATTACTAGGTATTTGGTATTTAATTTATACTTTTTACTTGACGCATTGCGTTTCGCTCACGGCGTATTCAAAAATAGTATACGATAGTATACGTAACGCTCGTCTCGGGCGTCAATTAGCCTCGTGTGCGAGCGCCCTTGTGGCGTAAGCTGGTGTTCCCGCCGCCCCGCGGGGCGGGGGCGGGGGCGCGGGCGCCTGGTGCCCGCTCAGCGCTGAGGTGTGCGTGGGCGTGTGTGTGCGCAGGGGGGCCGATGGAGGCGGGCGGACCGGACTTCGGGGCGCTGGGCGGCGACCAGCCGCCGGGGGGCTTCTTGGCGCAGCCGCCGGGCCCCGGGGGGCCCCAGGAGCCCCCGCCGCCCCCCGCCCTGCTCTCGCAGCGCAGCAGCCCCCCCGAGTTCCTCGCGTCGCAGGGTGAGTGTCACTCCCCCCCTACACACCCACCCCTTACAGCGCGCCTGACACCAACATCGACGCACCATTGACTTTCCTTGATCGCGAGGCTAGGAGTAGAATAGTAATTAAAACGTGGGGTTTCTAAACGAAAAATACTAGGCAATCATTAAATTTATCTTTGCGGTAACGTTCTTCGGAACTGACGAACTTTCTATTAAAAGACTGGAGGGGGGTTTATAAACACCAACGCACATTTCCAGATGCAAGTCAGTCGTGGCTAGGGATGGCAAAAGAAAGAACATCGATGTTTTGATTTTAATGTTTTCATGAGATCGATATACTTGTGCAGAAACATCGGTCTTAAAAAAATTTCTCGTATTTTATCAAAATTTCCAGTATCTATCTTTTGTGAATTGCTCACAGTCAACAGCCATTGATAACAGTTACTATTGTCGATTCTCAGGCGGCATGAAACCGTTATCTATTCGCAACATTTCTCCAGTGTTGTTTACTTTTTTCATTATTTTGTACGTAGTAATATCATTAAACTGGAATTTGAAACTTGACTGCACTAAATATTGATTAGAAAATTAAGATGACAGCCAAATTTGAGGCAGAGTGTACGTTACACTAATATTGACATGTTATGTGTCACATAAGAGGCAAGATATTTTACAAAATTTTTCGTCATATTTAAAACATCAATATTTTCATCGTGGATGTTTTTTATCAATGTTTTCATCGACATTGGAAACCATTTGGTGATGTATGGAATGGAGTATCGATGCTTTACTAAACTTTGCCACGACTAGTCGCTGCGCGCCGCTTGCTTCGCCATTTGCTGCCCCCAGAGCGCGCGCCAGCGGGGGTTCTATGCCGTCAATCGCGTCGCGGGGCTCTGAGTCGCTGTGTGCGGGGCCCCGACGCTATGCAAGGCCGAGCGAGCCCTCGCGCAGCCCTCAGTCAGAGGGCCTGGCGGTGGGAAACACAAAAACAATACTGCGCAAAATTAAAAAAAGCACTTCTAAAAAAATTGTATATGTTAATTTGCTGTAAAGAAGTGAAGTCGTAGGCTTCCGCGGCCAGAGTCATGTGGGTGATCTGGGCTGTCCGGGTGACGCCGCGTCGAGGGCAGAGTTGCCGACGTTTCGACCATCCTGTCGTGGTCTTCCTCAGGCATACCAGCCCTGTAAGAAGTTCATTATTTTAAAAAGTTGTAAATACTTTGAAACCTACAAAGAATTTGCTAGTTTTAACTTCATAAGTTTGTTTTTGAAATATATTAAATCACATTACATTTGAAGTGACATTTCCTGCAAAAAAATTTATATCACTTCCAGTCATAAAGCTATATTCACATATGTTACATGAAATAGATAGGTAATGGATAAATAATACAAATTTTTTTAAAGACATATTAGGTACGAAAGGTTTTTAAATTTGAGTTTTGCGCGAAGTTTAATCGTCTATCACCGCTACTTCTTCCGCGTTAGAGCTCCTTCAGTTTTTTGAAGTCTTAGATGGGGCTCACACTTGTTTGGTAGCTTCTAACAGAACTGAAGGAGCAGGGAAGCTCGCAGCAGCACAGTAGGTAGACCATCGCGAAGGTTTAGAGTGCTCAGGAAACTACTGCAAAATGGTTACCGGACCATATACTTACAATCTAAATGGCTTAAATCTCTTAGCTTCATATCATTGTTAAATATTGTGTGAAAGTGGATTTGCTTTTTGGATGCCCTGCGCCTGGGAAACTATGCCATCCAGAGAGTATGAGGGCTGTAGAAAGATATAGAAACAATATCAATATGGTTACTAGTTACGGTCGTCCATATAACTACCCATTAGTTATAAGAACTTTATCATACATAGATCAAAAAGTATCAACAAATGATTAATTCCTCCTAAAGAGAAAGATTGATTCTAAATTGATCAGGAGTAAAATTAGAACGAAATTTCTTATTAAAAAGGTGTACTAAAGATCTTGATATTTGAAGATAAAGTATAACTTTTTGAGGAAGTGTATAATTCTTTCAATTTATCTGCAAAAAACATCGACCTTTTGAACGTAAAGGATTTGGTGACAAGCTAATTATTCATTCACAAAAGATCACGTAGATTCAAAATTACTTTCTTATGAGAGAAGCACACTAATCAAAAGATTTTCTATAGAATTGTGAAAAATGAGAATACGTATTTGTATTTTAGACAGAGGCCCAGACACGTATTTTAAGGTTTTATTTTAGAGGATTCGTCTGATGATGCCTTTTTTCGGCGAGACGTCCTTTGATTAATTACATTTTTTTACTTCATAGAGCATGGGTGATTAAAAATCTTTAAACTTAGAACTAAACGTCTCCGTTAATACTACCATATTATATTTTGATGTTACCTACACTATTGAAATGTAAATATGTAATATAATATTGGTATATACAAGAGTCTCATGTGATAAAAATAGAGTATAAACAGAAATAGAAATTGTTGAGGTACAAAAACATATTTGTTTGGTTTAAAAAAATATCAATTCAGTAAAATAATATATTTTAAATGAGTAGTCTTCTTCATTCGTAAAGTCCGCCATTACGTCGCATGTTGATTAAAGTATTGGTAACATGGAATGCTGTTTTATTTCATTTCATGCCATGTAATTAATTATGCATGTTTATTTTAACACAAATCTGCTTTTTCCTTTATGTTTTGGATTTTAATTTTGAGGGTTCATGTGATCACTCAAAAAAAAAACGTGGCACTGATCTTCGTACAATCCCATGATTCCTCTTCGAACCAACCTTCTGATGGAAAATGCACAAGATATGTACGAATTCAATAGAATAGTAGGTTTTTCTTCTTAGTGTGTAGTCAAGTCAGAGCACACTGAATCTGGGATGCATTGCGTTAGCATGAGCATGTTTGTTTCCAAACGCCACTTTACGTCTGCTCACCTTCGAACTTTTGATATGAAATACCTCTGATATTTATGAATCATTTCCTCGCTCGCATGCTGCATGTCCAAATAAAAATCTTATAAGACCTATTATCCTGTCCAACCACCTTCTCGCATCATTGCCATTTTCTCGTATTCATCTGAACTTTACTGCTATCACTTTCTGGAGTCACATTTCATCATTTTTTGTCTCGGGTATTAATGGGCTTAGGGAAAAGAAAAACATAAAATTTCACGAAATATAACATTTATGTTGGGACTTAGTCTCTAGTTGTGAAACGATAATTACTAATTTAATATAGGGCTATTCTAAGAATGAAATCATTTAATATGTTCCGAGATACTGCGAAATCTATACCTAATAACAAAGTCTGAAGAAATTTAGAATCGACAATTTGTTTGTGGTATGCATTTAGCACTTGTAAGAACGATTAGAAAGAATGCGGAGAAAAATCGTTTAGTTATTAACTATTGCCCTACCTCTGCATTCTCCAATGGACAAGTTAGGCAAGAGAATGACACATCTATAACGGAGACCACGTGGTGTCGGGCGAACATTTCACACTTTGTAAGGCCAGTTTATTAACTCTAAGATACACTTTATAGGCCAGACACTATGCTTGAGAGAAGTTAATAATATTTATGCGTATATATTAATAAGTAGAGTGGCTAAGAACCGTGCAGTTAAATCAAATAGCCAATACTATTTTTCATAGAATTCCAGATTCTGGGAGTTTTTAGCCACTCTTCCTAAAAAATGTGGGAGTATAGAAAATAAGCAAGCCCCCAAATTATAATTGATTCAAAAAGGTCTCAATGTATATTGTATGGTCTAAGGAACATTACTCGAAGAAGTGAGGTGACAAACCTGTTTTCTAAGTCGGAGTACGCGCCATTTCATTTGCACTGCGCCCTGTTGCTAAGATCTCTAAGTTTCTTTAAATAAGCCTTTGGTACACTGGTGTAATACTTTATATTCATTTAAGCCCAAGACATTATCTTTCTAATGACCTTTCATTTGCGAATATTGTTAAGATACAAGAAACAAAATAGGATTCTTTACAGGGCAAAAACATTCTTCTAGAATCTTCCAGAACACGCGTGTGAAAAAGTTTCCACACATTTCATTCGTGAAGTTGTGATTTTAGCAAAAGATGAGAGCAGTCAAATACTTTGCTTTTATGCAATGCTGTACGTTGCAGATGACTGTAATATGATAGTATGGGCGATGAAGACAAAATCGTCGTCATCCAAATTCAGCTTCATTTGCCTGACTCTCCAGTGGTTCGTCCCTTCACCGCAGCCGATAGCCCTGCAAGTGGCTGTTTACAGTCGTTTTGTTTTTTTGCGTGCGCGATATTTTCGCTGCTTTTTTGATGGTGACGTTTGTGTTTTTGTTTCCGCCGCCCGGGGCCGTCCGTCGCTTGTTTTTGCTTCTGCCCGCGCCCCGCGAACACTAGCGCCCCCCGCCGCCCCCATCGCCCGCCTGTCGGGATTCGCAGCGGGAGCGAACGGGCGCTGGGAGCGCATTTCACCTCTCCAGGAAAAGCGAAATTTGTTTGCGAATGTCGTCAAATTTGTCCCTTCCACAAGTGTACGAGCTGATGTGTTAAAATATGTTTCCGAGATTTATAAGTAGAATTTGATATACCACAAATATTATATTTCTCATCATGTGAAACATTACGTATTATATGAACAATGCTCACGTTAATCAGAATCAATCGCGAATAATTATCCATCACCATGATCATGACGTTAAAGAATTATAAGCGCTTGATAATTTCATAATAAAATAATAATAATAATAATAATAATAATAATATAAATAATGTAATAGTAGTAATAAAATTTGAGGATAATATCTTAAAAAGAAGGCATACGAAAAAGTTCCTTATGTTTTCCGCCTTCTCAGCTCCTTCAAGCTCTTTACGTCGTTCTTAGCACTGAAAACTGTGTGGATTTGGGGGAAACACAGCGGAGACTGCGTGTGGTTTAATCTTTAATAATAAAATATTTCTCTACATTCTCTCACGTATACTGATAGTTCAGTAGAGTACTGACTGAAACGGGTGGCGAATATGCTCATTTTCATTGAACGTAGGGATTGCACGAGATATCTGTAGGCTCGACGACTGTTAGTACATTTTCTTAAACGAAATTTAAATTATATATATATATA